AAAAAAACAAACAAACAAGTTCATACAAAATTTACAAACATGTTCATTAAATGAACAAAAAAGAAAGAAAAAATGCAAGAAAAAATGATAATGCAATAAATAATAATGCAAAGAAATAATACAAGAAATAATGCAAGAAATGAAACAAAAAGAAAAAAAAAGGTGAAAAGGTGAGAGAGAGAGAAAAACCCAAAAAAATTTTTTTTTTTTTCTCAGAAAAAAAAAAACAATCCGGCATCAATCTGTCATGACTCATGACACATCTATCAAAAAAAAGCCTACTTACAATAACCTAATTGAATAAAGTTAAATAAAGTTAAAATAAGTTCAAATAAAGTTAAATAAAGTTAATTTATTTTATCACCGCCGGATTTACCTCACCGACCAAAGACATTACATTACATTTACATTTTAATATTTTGAATGAAAAAATTATTTTTTTTTAAAAAAAAAGTAAAAAAAACTTGAAAAAAACTGAAAATAATTTTAAATAATTACCTTGTCAAATAATATCAAATATCAAATTGCATAAAAATTTAATATTAGTTAAACTATTCAATTTTCCCCGATTATTTTATTTCCTAAAATAAAAGTTCCCGTTTGTGTATGTGATAAAATTTAAATTAAAAAAAAAAAAAATTTCATTCATTCATGCAAAGAAATATGAAAATTTGGAACATTTTTTCCAAAGAATTCTAGGATAAAATTTTGTGCGTGTGACACAACAACCCTACAAGTCACCTAAATTAAATGGATAAAATCAATCCCGACCAAAAATTTCTTAACAAATGACAGGGCGCAAAATTTACGACATAAAACATTTCACACAAATGTAATACCTAATAAAATTAGACAACAAAACACATGTGAAAATTTTAATCGGTTTTTTAATAAATTAATAATAATAATAATAATAGAAATGATAAAAAAAACGGGGTTGGAAAATCTTTTTTTTAAACAATTATCATGACAAATTTCAAACGAACCAATTGTTTATTTTAAAATCAATTTTCATATGATTTCCATTTAAGAAGGATAAAAGGAAAGAGAATAATAAACACGAAATTTATTAAATCAATTTTGCGCAAATCTATATTACTATATTTCGAAATTTCGGAATCCACAGTCGGAATCTATTTGCGGAATCTAAAATAACTTTGATTGTTTGATTGTTTTCTTTTAATATTTTAATACACAATATTACATACATTATATACATTATAATATTATGATATTATACATTATGTTAATATAAATAATAACATGAAATCAAACAAGTTAAACAAGTTTTTTAATTAACGTTGTTAATCGTTTTTTTTTTTTTACTGCACAGTGCACACTTACTTAAAATTAATTTGTATATCCAATATGATAATTCATTCATGATATGTCATCCCTGCATGATTTTCATTTGAAAGATATGATATTTTTCCTGCGAACGTCCCTTATTATCATAATTTGCTACGGATATACGGATAAGGTCAATTTGATAGTCAGCATTGCTTATATTCAATAATAAGCGTTAATCCTGTTTTTAATTATATCAAGTTATCACACTTATAAAACTTTATTTCACATATTTCACATCCAATAATTCCCGCAGCATTTCCCCACATATTTTTGTTTCACGTAAAACATTATATGCATGTTCCGTTATATAATCTAAATAATATCATATTCAAAAATTTTCAACGTTATTTCTTTTTAAAAAATTTTTTTTTTTTTCATAATTTCAGTTTTCTAAACCGAAATTTTTTTTTATTTCTTTTTTTCGGTTTCTAAAAAAAAATTTAATAAAAGTAAATGAATGATAAATGAGATAAATGAAATAAATGAATAAAATGATAAATGATGAATACAAATACAAATAATAATAAAAGAAATTACAAATAAAGATTAAAAACTTGATAAAAAAAGTTACTCGCAACTGCGCCAGAATTGGACCGCGTAAATAAAAAAATTGCGTTTTTTTTTTTATTTTTTTTTAAAAAAATTGAAATATCACATAATAATTACTAATATGACTAAATGTAATAAAATAATAAATTCATTTTTAGCGCAATTTTTATTTTATTTTTTTTAAAAAGAAAATTCTATTTATAAAAAATGCAATGTTTTAAGCCTTTTGATACTCGATTGAAAAAAAAAAAAATTATTACAAGATTACGGCGAATTACTACTTATGTAGGATTTTCTATCTCGGGAACATATTAATAACGTGTCGAATAAGAATCGAAACCTCACAGATAAGAACCTCTTATCAGCAAAAGTTAAATTAAAATCCTTGTATAGTTAGAACATTGATAAGTTATGGGAATATATTGTTTAATGTGTGTTTCTTTTTGATTCGAAATTTTCCTCTTTTTAGAAAATTTTTTTTTTTAAAAAAAAAATGAAACTTTTTTTTACTCAATTATAACATAGTACAGCATTTTACTGCATTACCTTACACCTTCTTATTACCTTAATTGAAAAAATGTGAGAAAAAAAAAAAAAAAATTATTAAAACCTGAAATACCTGAAATAATAAAATTTGATGGTCATTACATATTTATCTGATAAAAATAAAAAAAAATTATTAAGCATAAAAAAAACGAATTATATAATTTTATATCCTGTTTGATGGTTAGTTAAAATTGCCAAACAGTTCTGTATTTGTTTTGGTCCGGGCACTGACCACTTACGATTTTTGATAAACCTCATTTATCATAGATGCATATGAGATGATATCAGATTCGAAAAATTTTTTTTTTTTTTTTCAAATTTCCTGTTTTTTTTNACATATTTATCTGATAAAAATAAAAAAAAATTATTAAGCATAAAAAAAACGAATTATATAATTTTATATCCTGTTTGATGGTTAGTTAAAATTGCCAAACAGTTCTGTATTTGTTTTGGTCCGGGCACTGACCACTTACGATTTTTGATAAACCTCATTTATCATAGATGCATAGTTGATCAAAAAAAAAGTAAAAAATTTTTTTTTATCCAATCAAATCATTCCATTAATTATTAATATTCCAGAAATTCGGTAATATATTATTATATATTATTTGAGGCTTTTAACTTCAAAAAGTGATGGCGAAGAAGATAACGCGATACGTTCTAAAAGTTGCGTAACATCCGAGTTCCGAATAGCATAAAGTCCGTAACAATACTTATTATACAAATAAAATTTAATTTTTAATTTTAAAAAAATCATAATAAAATAAAAAACTTGATATACTTGATATAAAACAATTCTTATTATAATAATACCTTTTTTAAATATACAAAAAACACATGGGGACTTTCTTTCGAATCGATCTTCAAAATCTTACACGGTTTGTAGTGTGAATGTGGATTTTGAATGAGATTTGGTGAACCGAAGGACAAATAAAAAAAAAATATTTTTTTAAATCTGTTAATAATACCCATTATTACTATCACATTGTACTTCGGGAAGGACGCGGTAATTGAAACTTTGATGATGTGAAAGTTTTAAGGGTGAAGATAAACAAACACCTAAACATGGTTACAACAAACCTCCTTGTATTATATTCTTCCCCCTGTTAAAAAAGAAAAAAAAAAAGATTAGGATACCTTTGAATAATTGAATAATTTGATTTTTATTATATTTTATGCATTTTATATTTTTTTATATACTCTATAATCTTATATATCCATATTAGGACACAGTTAAGATAAAAGTGTGTATGCTATTTTAGTATTAGATAAATTTCATCATCATAATTTCTTTAAATGCTAGTAAAAAAAAAGCTTTTTTTTTTAAAAAAAACGCCTCATCTTTTTTTTTTGTTCAAAAATAACTTGGATTGTGGCATAGCTTTCCATGATAAATGTTGCTTTTCCAGTTATCCTAATTTCGAAATTCTTTGGCGGGTAAAACCATTATTTTTTTTTAAAAAAAAAATAAAAAATAATAATAATATAATAAACACAATTAAAAATTCAATACAAATTATCATGTTGTGTGATATCAGCCATCATATAATAATAACGAATTGACCACAATATAAATAATATTAATATATTATGATATAATTGTACATTCAAAAAAAAAAAATTTTTTATAAAGTAAGACTATAATGTAAAATATGTTACATATGATGATACGGTGATGCTACTAAATTAACATGTGAAGGAAGGATGAAGGATGTGCCCAACTTATGCCAACAAGATTTACATTGGTTTTCCAACCACGATATATTTACATGTACTACAAATGTACAAAAAGTAATATAAATTCATCCAACCCCCCTCCCCTGATATATTTAATTACTTTAATTTTCTTATATATATACCCTTTTAGCACGTTAGTCTTTTTTCAAAGCAAATAAATAAACTTTTTTTTTTTTTTTTTTTTTTTTTTTTT